TAGTGTTGTATTTATTTACAAGCAAATGGTATTTGTTCATTAACTTCATTGCTGATGATGCATATCTTCACACCAAGTGCTGATGTTTCCTTCAATTTTATTTTTTAATTTTCCTTTTTCCCCTTATCAGGATTTTATTTCTTTAATATTATTATGATGAATTTATGCACAAAGAAATAATATATATGTCCTATGTGTTGCAAATAAAATTCATTCTGCACATTCATGTATCCTTACAAAACTGAAGTAGTTGGTTATTGTTGAAGCAGCCCATTTGGCACAGACAGTTTCCGAATTGTTTATCTGATCTGTTTACTGTTGCTGTTCAGTAGTGGCAATCATGATTGACTTGTTTACTGTTGCTGTTCAGTGGTGGCAATCATGAATTAAAGTTTCAGGGTCAGCATTATCAAACTCAAATGACTTTCAATACCTCTCTCATGTTTGATATTTTCCTTAACAGTAGATCTTGAAAAAGGGAAATTAAAAGATGCTGTTCATTTTTAAACAGATTTTTAATTAGTTGCCACTTAAGATAATATGGAAACAAATTGTCCTTTTTTTTTAATTCTTTAATTTTTTTCATTTCCAAAATCCATGAGAAATTCAATTTAGAATGAAGATTTATAGAATGTGTTTTGGATGAACAAGAAGATTAACATCGGATAAATTTTTTTGGACTTGGCCTTTTCACCTGTATAAGCTGTGTGTGTAAATGTTATCTTATCTTCTAGCGTTGCCTGGGGGCTATCATAACATGTTTTGATGACTGCTCATTAGTAAGTGGAACCGATCTTTCATGTGGGCCATAACGTAGTTTTGAAAATTATATTGAATTGAGCTTAAAAAAACGGCCAGCAAGGCTGCCATGAGAAATAATGTGCCACACTTATTTGAGATATGTATGTTATTATTTATAAAAACATCAATAGCAGGAAAGAAGACCACTGGTATGAGCTACCTGAATGGGTAAATCAGAATTGTGGAATTTCTCAACCGATTTGGCAGACATGCTGGTTGATGCCATTGAATCCAAGCTAGCAGGGCTGGTCTCGTGTTAAACGTATTCCCTATATGGCTGTTAGAATAATATTATTGGTATGTTTTGATTCTTAGTTGAGTGTCCTAGTGCCAGGTCCTTATGGACAAGTTGCTGCATAAGGGACCATTTCCAGTTGTGAAAAAAAATGTTCCCTGCCAAATTGGCAGCTGCATTCTGAGAAGTTAGCTTGTAGTAACAATGAAATGAAACCTACATGTGTGTAAATAGTTATGTCTTCTTACCTACCCTCTTGTTGTCTGGTGATTTTTTTTTTTAAACCTGGAGCTTAATGTTATGGTCAGCTCAGTGATATTGGTGTATTGCAGTCACAAAGATATATATTTATGACATTGTACTCATGCTGTGATAAATGATGATATCAAAAGTTAAACGTGATTTTGATTGAAACAAAAAAATGTTTTTTAGGGGTTTTTTTTGTAGTGACCGTTCTTTGGCAAAACTAGGAATCAATACTATTTGAAAATTTATTTTAGACACTTTTTTCTTGGGATGTTGGTTTTTTTTCCATGATATAATGATACAATTTTAACACACTTAAGTGTTACACATTTTTTTAGAGCAGTTTTAAAATGTAACTCTGACATTATGTAAAATTTCTTTTTGGGGATCGTTTACTTAGTCCCACAGTTAGCCGACCTTTGTATTCTAAATATTCATTTTCTTTGAACAGGTAGGGTTGGAATTTTTTAATTTTTTTAATAAACAAAACAAATGTGATTAGTTGTGATATTATACCTGACATTCACTCATGCTTTTTCTAGATGTAGCCTACTTAAGGTTGTTGGTTATGTAGTAGATATTTTGTGGGTTTTATAAATGTAGCCATTAGAAATTTAGTTGTTTTTTTTTCTAAATAGATTTTTCATTGTAACTGCAGTGTTTTACAGTTCCTTCTCAATACCATGTTGATGTTTATTTTGACCGGCATTATGGGTGGGCCTCAGACGGTCAGGGTAGCTTGAAGAGTGACTGATATGTACAGAAAATCAGAAAGTGAAGTACCATCGTTTCATTAAAACAGTGGGTCCTAGCATGCGTCCGCCCCCCCCCCCCCCCCCTTGGCTTTTGAGAACACCTGACCTCGGCAAGTAGAAAATAGAAACTGATATATTTTAGAATATATAGCTATATATCTATAAGACATTGTTTATGATTAGTTGGAAGCCTTGTAGAGCCATTATGTGCTTATTGAAATGAATTTGGAATGATCATTGCAAATCAATTGGAGTATTACTATGTTTAAATAATGGGAAAATGTTTGGGCTTTTTTTTTATATATATTTTTTTTAAATCTTATTTGGCCTGAATTAAAATAAAAATTAGGCCACTTACAATTAAATCTGTATTATAGAAAATGTTTAACTTTTAAATTGAGATATATAAATTAAAACTTTAAACCTTGAAAATATCAACATAATAAATTACAGTATTCAAATTATACCTTGCTTTCTGAAGTCAATTTTCCTCCTTTCCACTGGGTCCAGGAAATGAACTCTAAAATTCTTAAAGAAATAATTGAGATTCACATTTTTTTTTAAAGTTTTCACCTAAAAAAGTAAACAACTGTGCACCATCTTGTTTTATGTCCATCAAGATTTTATTAACGTGCAAAGTGCACATACCCAGTAGGGCGGCTAGGGTTAGTGCCGCCCATTTACAGTGCACATACCTAGTAGGGTTAGTGCAACCAGGTCCTGGCCAAGACTTTGGGTGTCCCTTTTCCATAATAAAAACTCTGCAGTTAGCCGAAAAGCTTCCCCTCCATTTAAGGGGGCAAAAGTGCTGCCCGGTGCGGTCCACACTCCCTTCCTATGCCACTGCATATACCTCATTCTGCCCCCCTCCCACCCCGAATTTAAAAAATGAAAGAAAGGACTTATAAGACCACTGATCAAAATTTTAATAATCTTTTTTTAAATTCCTAAGTGACCAAATTAGTAAGCAGGTGGCTCAGTTTTTATGGTTAAATATATTAATGTTAACCTGGAAACCAGGGCCGCTTAGTCCTTAGCAACATTTATGCAAGTGCTGACTTGGTGGCCTTGCAGTCCAGCATAGTTATCCATGTCTGAAAGACAACCAGTGTGAGGTACCTACTGCAAAGTAAAGCAATTACTGATGATGATAGTTGAGTCAAAGCTGTGTACAATTAATTGTTTTTTCACACCTCTAGTTTCTCCTTTACCCTAATTGTTTCAAATGGCTTCTTTTTAAAAAAAGTTTACAAGTCTGTAGTCTGTGTGATCTTGTTGTATTTTTTTTAATGTGGTTTCATCACCAAATAAAGCAAAAATTATTATTGGCTATAAATTCGTTTTTTCTCTTAATGTACTGTGGTGTTGACAAAGTAATTGTAGTTTTTAGTTGTTTTTTAAATTGAAAAATCTAAATGCACACTCAAAAAACTACAAAAAATACCATTGTAGGAAAAAGTTTCAGGCATAGCAAAGAATACTCCACTTCTTGGTGTGAGCAGGCAATGGAGATGCTTGCTGTTAAAGATTAAGCTAAGTGCTACTTTTTAATTTTATTCTGTTTTTTCTGTTGTTTTGTTCGCTGACGAAGGCTTCCTGTCGACACGTCCGTTGTTTTGATGCGTTTCTTTTTTTCAGGTTTAACCCTACTCGGTCCAGCATTACGGTATTCCATTTCGCTGGATCGGGGCGGCATGGGGTCGCTGTTCCTAGTGAGCGGGCGGTCAAGAGTTTCGTGCTCAGTACCGCTTCTGCAGATTGTTTGTCAGGTCTCTTGAGATTCGAATCACTGATTACTGCTTGATTTCATGCCTATTTATTCATGTCCAAATCTGCTACCAGTGGCAAAATGTGAACTCCATATTGGATATAGAGAATATCACTCGTTTGCCTTTTCTGAAAATTTCTTTCTCACACCTCCAACAATTTTCAGTATTTTTGTTGTTATCACCATCAAAGCCAAGGGCGTAATATGTTCTCAAATCAAGTGTAGTTAGTGCCTCTGCAATGGCAACCGCGACTGCCGCGAGTATTTCTGCCTTTCCAGTTAGGTTATTACTGTTTTTTAAGACCTTTTCCTCTGATACCTTTATTTTCAAAGGCGCTGAACAGAACACTATACTAAGCTCCGTTTCATTTCTTAAAATGAGATATTTATCCAAACTGAAGAACTTCTTCTTTTTAAAGTTTAAAAAAAAAAATATTCTCTCTTTAAAACCTATAGGCCTACACAGTGATGTGGGCCCTATGTGTTGGTTTTGAGACGGTGAAAACGATTTAGGGTTGGTGCTTGATGTTGAATATGAAGGGTAACAAGGGGGAGAGACTGCGATCAGGTTAGCAAAAAGGGAAAGGAGTGCAACAGAGTAAGGGCATGGGAAAACCTGTTGCGTTCCTTTTTTTTTTTTTTTTGACAAGTTTTCTCATACGTTGTTTCATTCATTTTCCTGAATATGAAGGGGGGGGGTTGGGGGAAGGGTGTGGTTGGGGGGAAGAAGGTACTTTATTCATTGATTAATGATTGAAGGGGTAAGGGTAGGGAGTTCGGTAATTTTATTTTTTTTTTTTTTTTTTTTTTTTGACAAGTTTTCTCATACGTTGTTTCATTCATTTTGCTGAATATGAAGGGGTGGGGTTGGGAGAAGGGTGTGGTTGGGGGAAAGAAGGTACTTTATTCATTGATTAATGATTGAACGGGTAAGGGTAGGGAGTTCAGTAATTTTATTTGTAATGACCATTTCTTGTTTACGATATAGGAGATAATTCATATTTGATTTACAACTAAATCCAATTTTTAAAAAAAATTATTTGCGATTAATGCGATTACTTTCTTTAAATTAAAGTATTTCCATTATTATTTTTTTAAAGATCGATGCCTAAATTGTATTGTTTCGTTACTATGCTGTTAAATAGTTTTTATATGTTAAAAATAAAAATCGATAATGTCGCGTCATTGTTTTGGTGTCTGCGGAGAAGTAAAACTAAAGGGTTCATACGTCTACTGGAAAAAGAATTAACAAAGAGAAGACATATATTTTTTAAAGATTTAATTCCCATAAGGTTAGAAAAAAATTTAACTTAGTCTTTATTTCTGTTAATTTTAAATAGAAGATTGTTTTCCCTAATGATTAATTATTATTATTACAAACTGTGAATGGTCCTAGTCCTGGTGGCACAGTCAGTGGTGAAGAAGGATGGTGGATTGTAACGAGAGTACTCATTTAGTCGTAGAGGAGAAGTAGAAGTGAATAATAATAATGTCAAACTTTTACTTTTAGCCTAGGTTAAGGGCTTCGTTAGTCTAATTAAGTAGAGGTGAAACCTCATCAATCAAGGTAATCATAAATGAATAAATGTTCGTGATTAGTGTTATTAAAATATTAGTATGTATCAGTATCAGTCAATAAGTCAATAAGAATAAGTGAAAGTGCTAGTTAGTAACTTTAATAAGTCAACTGTTAGTAGTTGCCCTTTTAGCCCTTCTTAGTTGGAACTTGACTTATAGTATATTTACACTAAATTCTAAAAAAAAATTCCCACAGTACCACAGTCATAGTACCACAGTTACCCACGAACTGTGGTCGGCTGAAAAAATTGGCTGATACTGTTACTATTATTCTCGTTCTGTACTGTGGCGGCCGAAAAAATCTGCAGATTAAAAACACGGTCAAATAGCAACTTCCAATCCAATATGTAGCTGGAATTATAACCACTTCCTATTATTAATAATTAAATCATCTTCGGGTCAAGCTGTTTGTTGATAATTGATAACTTAACATTATCATTAACTTATTGAATAAGTCAGTCATTTTTAATCAGAGTTTTATATTGCTGGTTTTTTAAAGCTAAAATGGATGAATCCATGGCTGGGCCTTCAGTACGAGAAATAAAAAAATATTTTTGAAAGCTTTTTAAGAGCGTATTTGAAGTATTTGGTAAATTTTGAGTTAACCGTTTGGGTTTTGCCAAGAGTTTTTTCACCCTTAGCACAGTGATGTCACATTGGGGAATCCCAACACTGGACTTAGGGTGAATAGATATATTCTTTGAAGGACCCGAGCGATGTTTGTTATAACATTCCTGTTCTTAATTGAGCATTACTCATGTCATAAACGATACGGTTAATATAAAGTATATTGAAATGAAATTTTCCATTAATTTGTATTAAAACTCAACTTACATATTTCAAAAGAAAGGAAAAAAAAAAAACACATCCTTGCTGATACCCCAGTTTCTTATATAAAATTGCTTTCAGAGGTCTAATTGTAGTCAAAACTATACATTTTCTGAAAGATAAATGAATTGGCTACAACATTCAGTAGTATTTTAAGTGAATCTATCAAAATGAATGATGTTATGAGCACCTGAAAGCAAGACATTTTGTCGATTTTTTTTCCTTGAGCACTCCAAGGTCAAGGACACTGAGCAAAAAATTTTTACAGGGTGGGAAATATAGCCAACTTGCCCATCCATTTACCTTTCTAAAAATATACAACTATTGGGGTCTTGTATCAATATTTCTATGTCATTTAATGCAATTTCAAAAGGCACTCAAAAAAGCTCTGAAAAGCTCCCACACTACAGAATGATCCATGCCACAGTTCATGGGTTAAATTATCAAATATAACAAGGATTTGGGCCTACATTACTGTCATTACAGTGAAATTACACAACTAACTGTTTGATCATAACATTTTACTGTTTACAATTACCGTACACTGACTCTAGGTCAACAACTAGGTCTATATTCTATACGGACTATGTGATAGCTACGGCTAGGATTGGGTTAGTGTTAGTGGTAAAACCGGAGATGTTTTCTATGGCGCTATACACAACATTACAGACCATGGGTGTCATGTAAGTGACCCAGAACCCAGGTCAACTGCTGGAAATAGTTCATGGGGTGTCATTTCAGTTTTTTTTCAGGGGGGGGGGGGGGGGCAAAACCAAAACTTGGTCGCCTTGCTAAGTTGTTTATTACTGGAGGTGCCACAGTACATAGCAATTTAAATAAAACCTGCAATTTCAGGGGGGTGGGGGTGGCAAATGCTCTCCTGCCCTACCCAAATGATGACCCTGCATAGTTTTGTGCTCATGTTAGCTCTGTATTATGTGATACAATGGATTCCATGAAAATTGAAGTTAATCACCGATCTCTTGATACTCCTACTAGCCCTACCAGAAAATTAAAGGCTAGGAAGAAGAGTCTTTGACATGGACGACATTGTTAAAATTAGATTAGGAAGATAATTCAAATTATAAAAGGAAGAATATCAATTTTTCTAAGATTAAGACAAAGTTAAAAAAAAAAATTGGAAACAATAATTCCACAAAGAATAAATTAGCTCAATTAAATCTCAACACCAAGGCACAAAAATAAAAAGAGTATTTTTTTTAATGAGATCCAGGGTTAAATTTGTGCTCTTATCATGTCTGTTTTTATTATAATAATACAAACCCATCACCATATTCTTGACTTGGTTATTAGACTTGGGAGTCTATCCATCAGGCTTCAAGTAAATTAGACTTAGTAGGCTATCGATCAGGCATTGGGTTCATTTTTACAAAATAAAAATTGTGGGTGAATAGTAAATGATTGATACATTGAATTGACCCTTATACTTTGAAATGTCATTTTATTTGTTGTAAGTTATACAATTTATCATGGAAATGATAACTATATCTTACAGTATATAAGTAATATATTTTATTGTGATTAACAAAATTGTAATTACAGGATATAACCAGTAAAAATTTAAAAAAAAAGAAAGACTACTCCGTTATTGTAAAATGAGGTGGTTTGAAGATGGAATTCCGAGGGCTATCCAGACAGCAAAGTCCAATAAATCAGTTTTTATTGTCTTCATCACCGGTAAGTTGTGGACGGACAGGTAGTTGATATGTTGTTATAGAGCTTTGAATTATTTTAGAAAGAAATGTGTTATCAGTTGGTAGATCTCCGTATCTCATGTTAAAGCTATGCTAGTTTTCACTTTGAGCACTGCAGAAATAGTTTCATTTGAGTGTTTCATTACAATTGCATTTTCTTTTTAAAATTATTTTAGGAAGAACAAGCAAACCCCCCCCCCCCTTTTCCCCCATTCCATCTATTCTCCCCGGGCTCACCATTTATAGTTTCATTTGAGTGTTTCATTACAATTGCATTTTCTTTTTAAAATTATTTTAGGAAAAACAAGCAAACCCCCCCCCCCTTTTCCCCCATTCCATCTATTCTCCCCGGGCTCACCATTTCCATTCTATTAACTTTTAATGCATTCTTATTAGAAAAAAAAAAAGAAGTTCAATAAGTATTTAAAAAAAGTATAATGAATGCCTACAAAAAAAATATAATTTTCCAATTAATATTTTAGGATCCCAAAAATAATTAATGATTTCAGACTCAACAGAATATTCATGTTTAAAATTTAACAATGGTGCCTTTAAAAAAAAAAGTGAATTAAATAAATCCAGCATCAGTTTTAAAAAAAAAGGCTATGGATATTTTTATCGTGGAAAGACATGAACTTGAAATAATGTCTTGTGGTCATTTGTAGTTATTTAGAACAAATTGACAACTGACCAAATTTTGTCTCAACATGATTGTTGTCATTTTTTTTTTTAAACCCCTGAATAGTAAGCCTTAAATACATTTAAAGAGTTTTGTTTTTTTCATGATCATGTGACTTCATTTTTCTCTAGTTACTTTTTTACTGTGGCACATACAAAAAATTATATCAACTCTTTCAGGGGAGGAGGAAAAGTCTGCAGAAATGGAGTCTTTCCTACAAACTGAAGATGTTACAACTGTCTGTGAAGAAAATAGATGTGTAGCCATCAGAATTACCTCAAATAGGTTGGTTGCGTGCCATGTTTGCCAAGTCATATTATAAAACTTTGCTGTGTCGTGCTAAACAACTTAAAAAATTCATTTCATTTAATTTAATCTCCCATTGTAATAACTCAATATAGGTACTGTAAGCTCTTTTTTTTTCTCCCAGCAATGATGTCAAGTTGTTTTCACAGATTTGTATCCTTTTCAACTTGAACCGGTTACAAAATTAGTCATTTTCAAAGACATTATTCATAAGTTTTATGAAAATAGTAATACATAGTATTTTAAAATAAATGTTCTAATGCACAAAAACTGTTTCTATTACATATTCAAATTAACCGGTATTAGAATTTTTTATTTTGTTTAATTCCTGTCGTGTAGCCAGGGTTAGTGCCATCCAAGATTTTTTGCCTCCCCTGTTTCATGCGCAAACTTTGCTGTTTACCAAAAATGTGGCCCCTAAATATAAGAAAAAAATGTATGGTATCATGATGATATGGTCTCAGATCTGGTTCATTACTGAGAAGCAGCAGGTTGGATTTCTTCAAATGTCATCTCAGGCTGTGCGCTATCAGCTTGAATGACAGAACGTGTTAGACCATGTAAACCCTGGGTATTTAAAAAAAAAAACAACCATGAAGTCCAGCAGCCACTTAATGAGTGACCAAAGCATCAGCTGTTTGTCCAAGCCCAGGCCTACACTACAGGGATTGCTGTCAAGGCTACAAAGGAAATATTGGAAATCTAGCCACCCATGATTAAATATTTTAAGTGCAGCCTTTTGTTTTTCTATTTTAAAGATTACTGTGAAACATTGTTTTATTGTGAGGCTGAAATTATTGAAAATCCATTAGCCCATAAACATGCTTTCAAAGAAATTAAAGAGGCGATGACTAGTTATTTAAGGGTGAAATTGTGTATTATGTCTTTGACCAAATGAACCCAGACCCCGTTGTTGTCATCCCATCAACATTCTTCATTGGGGACAATGGTGTGCCCCTGGAGGTGATTGGTGAATGCAAGTCACATGAGGATTTTCTGGCCAAAGTTAAAAATGCTATTGAGGTGAGAAGTTTTGCTATGATCAAATTGAATTTAACTCAGGACGATGGAGTCGTAAAAGAAAAATATATATTATTAACTTCTGCTTAGACTTAGAAAAATGTGTATTCAGTATCCAGCCTTCAGTGGTAAAACAATTAATTTTCAGTGAAATTCTATTTTTATATTTTTTAATTAAATTGAATTCAAAATTATGTTGTTGTTTTTTATGTCTGGTATCATCTAGTAATCATTTGCTGATCACAATAATTTTTTAACCCAGGTAAAATTGTTCCATTCACTCCCATTGCTGGCTTGGACTTGCTCCATCTGCAATGGAGGAGTTAGACTTGAGGTGTAAACATTTTTAGATTTATAATGAAAATGCAAAAAAATGAACATTAAAAAAAAGATATAAATATTTTTTAGCTGATGGGACGGTGGGGGTCAGTTTTGACTTTGATTTAGCTAGTGAAACAAAATTTCCTTGAAGTATAACTATGGACATTGTATAAATGCTGGGGTTTTTTTGGTGCTGTTTGAAAGTTCAATGACATATGTAACAAGATGAATAGTTTCTTGAAATTCCTGGTCCTGTTTTTGAAGATATCTTATAAAATAAAGTGTTTCAAATTATAAGAGCATTAGTAGAAAGGATTGTCATCGCCTGTGAGTACAATAAAATTGTGTGCCTGCATGAAATCGCTTAGTTTTTCATGGGATGGGTTGGCTTGGTGGGCCATGAGTTTGAAGCTCTAACTTCACTGTTTCAGATATTGTCCTTAAAACAGTGGTGGGCCACCTTTTTTTTTTTGAGTAGAGGGCGGCATGGAAATTTTGTTTTTTTATTTGGGAAGGCAGCATAATTTTCTAGTAATCAGGTTCTAGACAATAAATTGAACAAATTGTTTTTAAAAATTTATTTATTTAATAAATATATACTATCTGAAGGGGAAGATTGTGTAGTCTTTTGGTATTGAGTTACGGTACATACTGTATCTATATTTAATTGGATTTTTTGGAGCAGCAAACTGCTTTTACCTGGGTTCCTGGAGGGTTTTGCGGATCGGATTAAACTTTAAGCGGGTCGTGGATTGCCCATCCCTGGCTTAAAATGAACAAGAAATGGTGATTTTTTATTTTTTTTTTTAACCAGATGTCCCTTTTATTTTCAGTTACAGAAAAAATCTACAGCTTCAGGAGCTGAGACGTCTCAGTCTTCACACCAACAGGCCCCATCAGTTGCACCCCAACAGGCCCCATCAGTCCCACCCCAACAGACCTCATTAGTTCCGCCCCAACAGACCCCATCGGTGCCACCCCAGAATGAAAAAATATTAACAGGTAAGGGTTTAAAATTATTTTAACAGTAAATAATCATCTCTTTTATACTACTTTATGTAAGATTCATCTGAATATGAAACATCTATGGCAGGTGAGGAGGACTTAGCTGGTGCTACTGGAGGAGAATCTGCAGTGGTGGGGAATGGAGATGAAGGGGCAGATTCAGGACTGACTCTGGAGGAGCGAGTTGAAAAGTCGGTTGGGATGTCTTTTAAATCTGTTATTTTTAATGATATATATGTTTTGTTAATGATTAATAATTAAATTCACTTTGATGGTTGGCTGGTGGAAGTTTTAAAAAAAAAAAAATCACAACAGATACTCTAAGTGGAAGAATGCTTTGAAAATTTAACAGTGAAAATCATCTCCTTCTGGAACCGATTACTGTGTTGGTTTTACTGATATATAAATTAATTTCAAATTATAAGAAAAATACATTTTAAAGACGCAAAAATCAAATTTAGCTTTGGTTGTATCATCCAATTTTGTTTGTGCATCCTGAGTGTTAGATGGATTTATATCTGCTTGGCACTGTGTTATCTTTCAGGGCCAGGTTGTTGGTGGAATATAAACGTGAAGAAAAGATGAGGAAGGAAGCAGAAGTAAGTTTTGTAGGAAAAATAATTTTTCATTTATTTATATGGTACTTTGTATAAGTTAGTGTTCAAATCTAAATAATATAAAAGGAGTGGTTATTCGGCAGGGAAAAGCCGTGAGCTCCCTGTAGTAAACCATTTTATTGGGTGGGAATAACTTTGAACATTGTTCCCAGCGGACTGTGTGATAATAGTGCTATGATAATAAAGTCTGTTGAAATTAATACACATTATAGATTCATTAGATAATTTAATTTATTTTTTTTAATTTGCTAACTCTAGTAAACCAATTATCAGCTTGGAATAACGTGGAGCATTATACACAGTTGCCTGGGATTAACGTTGAGCATTATTCCCAGCCGGCTACATAACGCCTCCCTAATATAAATTGGATAGTCTAAGGTTATAAACTGAAAAGTAAAAAAAAAAATAATAATGAAAAAGAAGGTGTTGAACTTTTGAGAAAGCAGTATTAAATTCAAATAAATTTAGTGTGAAATCCAACTACATGCTCCAGACAAACCAGGGTTTGAGAGGCAATAACTTCCAGCAGGCCAGCTTTAAAGAAAGCTAAACTTGTTGTCTAACAGGAGGCCAAAAAAAGAGAGATAGAAAGGAGGAATATTGGTCAGGGGGTGCAGAAATTGCGTGAGAAGCAGAAAGAAATGGACATCCTGGAGGCAAAGAAGGAGCTCAAGAAGGACAGAGATGAAGAGAAACTGGCAAGACAGAGAGTGAAGGATGAAATTGAAAGAGACAGGTGAGTGCCATGTAACATTTAGACAGGTGAGTATTATTTGCAATGTTCAAAATTATATAGATATTTTAAATTTCTCATGTCAGTTTAATTGTGTAGAGAAACTGAAATGTGGGACTGTTATTTTTATGTTTGCCAAAATTTTATACTTTGATTCCGATATACAAACAGAACTCCCCCACCCCCACCTGTTGCAATGCAGGGATGTCATTCAGGGAGGGCCCAACCCCCACCTCACCCCCCCCCCCTACCCGCTAATTTTGCAAGATTTTTTTAAAATTTGGTATTTTTTATGTTTGTCAAAATTTTATACTTTGATTCCCATATACAAACAGACCTCCCCCACCCCCACCTGTTGCAATGCAGGGATGTCATTCAGGGAGGGCCCAACCCCCACCTCCCCCCCCCCCCCTACCCGCTAATTTTGCAAGATTTTTTTAAAATTTGGTATCAGTATCTAAGATATCAGAAAATCAAACACAGGAGAAAATAATTACAACAAAAAAAACTAAAAAAACAAGAAAATCAAAAAATTAATCTGGCGATTATTATTTAAATTGATAGTAATAGATAACTCAACAAGCCAGGCAAGTTTTGGTTTTTTGCGCCATGCCACCCCCCTCCCCTTTCAAAACATTGCAATGACATCCCTGTTGCAATGCAGAAATGTTTAATCAAATTAGGATTATGTTACCGTTAAAATATTTGTGCTCATAATACATGGCTGATATCCATCTATATAGTCATTTTAATTAAAAGGAGCTCGATACCTTTTCTCGTTTTATATGAGTAACAAACCTAATATGTCATTGTTAATAAAACGTTTCGCAATTATATGTTATACTTAATGTTGAACACACGACAGGCAGGAGAAAGCTGCGAGGTTTGGAAAGGACAAAGACAACCAGCTCAAGGTGGACGAGGCACAGAAAAAGAAAAGGTTGTTGGAACAGCAAGCTGCTCAGGCCATCGAACAAGCCAGGAAGAGGTGATTTCTCAGAAATTTTTATGCAAATGCGAAAACTGTTACAGGAAACACAGTCGGAATAATCCGCTGAATGTTTAAACAGCTCATGGAAATGTATCGAGAATTTTTCCCTTATGTCTCCCATTTATATTTGAAAAGAATATTTCTAACAGTTTCTCCTAATTTCAATACATAATATATTACAATTTTTTTAAAGGATTAAGTTTTGGGGCCCCAGTTGGTGTCAAAGCCAAAGCTATCAGGTTTGCCTTACTTTCAGATTATAAATGAAAGTGTCAAAGGTTTAATTTTAGCATATTGAAATTAAAATACAATTAATTGGGTAAAGTAATGAACTGCAAGGATAAAGTTTAAATTTTTGTTTTAAACACTGGTCATAAATCCTTTTTTTTTTGCATTTGTTTACTATTGTTCAAACCTATTCTTTGTGTTTATTAAAAAGTATTTACCAGGCTACAAGTTTATTTTATTTAAAGAAGCGAGGCTTGATTTTTAAAATTTCTTTTTAAATGTCAAAACTTTTTTAAAAAGTCATGATGCACACTTGTGGACCAGCACTGGATTAATCACTGTCAAAGATAAATGAGCTTTTCCAGTATGACATTAACCTGTACTACGGTCAAAAACGTGAAAAGGAAACTTGTTAAATAAAATTGAAACTTCATTAGCAAGGGTGATATACATTTTTCTTCACTTTTTTTAAAAACGGGTGTTTTGACAATTATTTTCTTGCAGTGATATTGCAAGAATTCAGTTCAGGTTACCAGATGGCTCATCAGTCACTCAGAATTTTCCTGGGACAGAGAAGTTCGCTGTTTTAAACCAATTTATTACTCAGGTACCGAACATGATTTTTCTGTTTTAGAACCAATTTATAACTTACAACTCTGGTATCACCCAAGATTTTTCTGTCATATTACTTTTTATTTGATAAAGGTATAATAAAAATGAATTTGTTAAATGATATATGAACATGAATTTGTTAGTGATATATAACATGAATTTTTTTTTATTAACAATATAGTTACAAATGAATTTTTTGTATTGTTAACAGTATAGTTACAAATGAATTTTTTTTTGTATAGTTAACGGTATAGTTACAAAAGAATTTGTTAAAATCAGGTTTTACTTCAAATATATGCAATTTTTCCTTTTAGCATATGGGATCAGCGGTTAATTTGTCTATGGCATTCCCACGGCGTACCTTCACAACAGAGGATCATAGCTTAACATTACAGGAGCTTCAGCTTGCCCCGTCTGCTGTCATTTTGGTCATTCCGGTCAGTGCTTTTTTGATATCTTAATTGGGTTTTGCTTCGCTCCTCTGCAGACACGCGTATTCTGTCCATTCCCAAGACACACACTAAAACATATGGTGAACAATCTTTCTCTTTCTGCGCCCCCAAACAATGGAATTCTTTGCCAATCAACATATGCAATATACCAACCACCCAGGCCTTCAAAACTGCACTCAAAACATATCTTTTTAAATTATACTACCCTGACTGATTCCCCTCCTCTGACCGATAAATGATCTTGCTGGCTGCCGTCCATGGTTTGCCGTGTAAAAGTTATGTGGTGGGGTGGGTGAATATACATTGCTGTTCTTTATTTCATAAATGTATTTTATTTTAATGTCATGATTATGTCTCTTTTGATAAAAATTTTATGTACAGCGCGGTGAGCCCAGCCCTAGGCTGGGGTACCGCGCTATATAAGACGTCTTATTATTATTATTTATATCAGAGAGATGACATTGACATTATCTTGTACCTGTGGCTTTGGACTTTGTTATCAAGTATAAACAATTAATGTAAACAGCTCATGGTATGGTTAGTACTTGAATAAAGACAAAGCAATGAGGGTGTCAGAATCCTTCATCGGTGAACCAAAATATAAGTTTTACCCTAACTTTGCCAGTAGGATACCCAACCAGAGCCCTCAATACACTTCATGTTAAAATTTTCAACTTTAAAATTATCCACTGAAAAGCTTTACTTGAGGATAAACAAATTTTATTATCATTTACAGGAAAGGAAGGAAGCAAAATGGGTCCAAAATGACTTTTTTCCCCTTTCTTCCCCCCCCCCCCTCGGAAGTGTGTTGGGGGGGGGAGGCGTATTGAATTCTCAAAGATCATAAATCAAATATCTGTGTTCCCCAGCAAAGGATACCTTTTATTTAACAAGCCAATAATTTTTCTCACACCTTAATTAATAATATAAATATTTCATTTCTCAAATTTTATTTTTTGATTTAATAAAGTTCCCGGGCATGTTTTTGTTACACTTCTTGAATGGACCACATTCAAGTTGCCTAATGAAAGCCTTGACCCTACTCCCCACTTCCAGGCAGGTATTTCCACATCACAAGTTGCCTAATGAAATTCTTGACCCTATTCCCCACTTCCAGGCAGGTATTTCCACATCACAAGTTGCCTAATGAAATTCTTGACCCTACTCCCCACTTCCAGGCAGGTATTTCCACATCACAAGTTGCCTAATGAAATTCTTGACCCTATTCCCCACTTCCAGGCAGGTATTTCCACATCTGAAGTAAGAGGCTCCAGCTCTCTCTCTTTGGCCAGGATCACCAATTTGCTCTTCTCACCCATTTTCTTCCTTTGGAACCTGTTGACTTCCATCTTTGGTCTCTCTGGTTCATCAGCTCGACCTGGCAGTGCTCAGTCTTCACACCCACCATCTACAGCTCGGGGAGGGGAGAGGAACCAAGGAAGGTAATAAAATAAACATTTTGGGTCATGAAGATAGTGAAATCAGGTAAATAACAGAAGAAATTATGGCCACCTTAACCCATCATTTTTTATGAAATTTTTGTTGAAAGAGATACAAATTTAAATTTTATCCAGTACAGTATGTGTATTGGGAAATGTGTGTCCTCAACAGTACCATATAAAAATCTGAATAAATCAGTGTCTGAAATTGGATGGGGGCAATAATCCTTTCGGAGAAATCTAGTGATTAGTCATTCTTTTATTTAGAACTTGGTTTGGTTAACATTTAATTTGGCCGAATATATATAGCATGTAGTACCAGTAGGTAATCAATTTAATTTAACAAAATCATTCTGAATAATATTAAGCAAAATATTTTAAGATGCAGATATACCAGTAAATATGAAGAATTATTTTATTAATTGAAACTAATCACATGCTCTGTATGTGTATAATGGAATATAATCTAAAACTACATACAAATACAATAAGTCAATCTTAAATTTAAAGATGTGCCTAAAAGAATACATTTTAATAAGCGTAATGGGTTCCAATGGTATATATGTCACCACAGCAAGCTTTAGAAATGTTTACAGATTTGATTACCGGTAGGGTATTTTTTAAAAAACTCAAAAAACTCGTGTCAAAAAAAGTATGTATCAGTACTGGTAAAATACATTTAAAAAAAATTTTTCTCAACAAATTTACTCGCCAATTTTATTTGTGCTTTTATGATAATTAGTACCGTACCATTACTGTAACAATAGTTGAATTAATAGAATTAATTTTTGACAAATAGTAGTAGTAGGGCCTATTTTCTGTGTTGTGCAATGGTACCGGTACGGTATAGAATTACTGGTACAGTATGATATAAAAGTTTAGTCTGCCATTTCTAGTGGAAATTATTTCCCACTATTCTTAACTCAAAACCTAACAGTGCCCAAAAACGACCAGCATCCAGTTCACGTCAAGAGGGATCAGTCAGACGTTTCCGTAATGCGCAAGATGATGACAACGATGATGAGAGCAACACCTGGAATGGAAACTCTACCCAGCAAATGTAATGAAATATTTCTCAGTAGATAAAACTAATTTATTGATTTTTATTCAATGTTCATCTTACTCTTAACTGTGTACACTGGTATGCAGTTCTCCAGTGGGGAGCCATAAATAAAACTAAAATTGTGATACAGAAATGCAAAGAAATAAAATCTTCAGGAAACAGACTTTTGAAATTGTACAACTTTTTACCTATTTTTTTTAATACCAGTATGCAAATGAATAGACATTATATTAAACAGAAAATGGCACACCTATGATGGTTTTTTAAATATTTATTTACCATAAATTTTGGTCATACTACCTGGTCTTATGGAACTCACTTGTCTTCTTAAGGACAAGTACCTACGGGTAGTCTATTATCTTCATGATTGTTTAATAAAAATGAAAGGTGAAGGAGGCTGCCGAGTGAGGTGCAACCCCACCTCACTCTGTCACCATGCCTCACTCAGTCACTGCACACATTGGTCAACCCAACTGCCCCATTTATTAGCACCATAGTATAGATAGCACCATAGACTTGTGGCCATTAATTTATTAATAGTTTATTAATTCATTAGTAATAGTAGTAATACAGCTTAAAACAAGTAAGTACTGGTAGATGGAAATGGAAAACTAGTTTTATTAACACCCAAAGAGTAAATTAGGCCCTGATTAGGAATTATTGAATTGTCAATTGAGCAAGTAAAGTCAAAGGTTCCCACCATTGACAATGAAAAACTGTTTTTCGCTTTGCTAGTTATGTTAGTACAGGTAATTGTTTTGTAAGCAGTCCGGTACAGTATGCAGTCTCTTTAAGTTTAAGAGTATCTTATGCATCTATAACTAGTGGTTTTGGGTATATTTGTTTTTTTGACAATCATGAGGTTAGTAACTTCTAAAACAGATGAGTAAATCATCCCCATAGATCGGAAACTTAACAAATGATTAAAATTAAACATGTGCCTTTGGGATACAATATCATCAGCAAGGGTTATGTCATGTTAAGGGCCCAGCAACCTCCTAGCGCCAACCTTGTTGGTGTTATTTTATGACACTGTACATGAAGGTACCCGGTATAATTTTTATTAATTGTTTAAGTATATACACTAGTGGACAGTGGCATAGATATGGTTGGTGTCGCCCGGTGCGGTAAACTCATGGGTTCCCCCCCCCCCCCCAAAAAAAAAAAAAAAAAAAAAAAAAAAAAATTAAAAAATAAAATTTTTTTTTTTTTTTTTAATTCATCATGGAAGTTTTTTGTTTTTTTTTTTAAATGGGTGTTGGGGATGACACCATGAGGGTGCGCCACTGAATATTATGTCTTCAAAAATCGTTTCTTTATTTAAAGAAATAAGAATGAATCATTTAAAATTGTGTGAAATACCGGGTAAAAATTCATTTTTTATTTTCTTTTTGAACTCTGTTGTTTTTTTTACCGATAATTGTACTAAATTGTACCAATCGCCTGACCACACCATATTTGGTTTCAATGGAAAGCCCTAATTCACAGAATCTAGATAAATATAGTCTACCGGTAGCCTCCTATCACTTACGCAAGTTACGAAACACTTCGATGGCGTGGAATGATTGTGTCTTTCTGAACTAAACATAAGGCGTCATAAGGTCATCTCATTTATGGTGCATCAACCTTCAAATCACTTCAATAATGCAGCATTTGAATTTGTTACATTTACATTTGTGAAAAATGTTTGTGTGATCGGTTATCGTTTTATGAATCTGGATTAGACCCAGCAGTGTGTCCTCATTTTGCTCTGTAAATATGCAATTGTTACCTTTAAAATGGTTTCACCCGGTGCGTTCCGCAGCCCCCGCCACTGCTAGCGGCTATACCCTGCGTTTTCCTTCGGAATTTCTACTTCTAGTCTTATTATTATTCCGATCCCGGTGGGCTCCCGATTCCGTCGGTATCCCTCTAGTCTAGTATACCAGTTCGCAGTGGGATTCCGATCCCTCCTGGGCCCGATTCCGGTGTCATCCCAATCCCGTCGGTATTCCGATATCTCTAAGTCTAAGTAATTATTGTTTGAACTCGAAAAATTATACAACTAAATGCTTTATTAGTATTATACTAATACTATTATACATTTTTAAGCTAAGAGCGGGGGCACATTATTTTACAAAATCAGTTTTGCCTGAGATGGGGAACCCCATAAAAAGAGATTGAGTTAAAATTTGTCTGATTGAAATTGGTTTCAAATGCCATGGATATAGTAGGGCTAGGGCTATAAGGCTTTTTAAATTTATCGAACTTTCTGGAAAAATATTTGAATTATTCGTTTTAAATCCAGGGATATTTCAATAGGGACAATGAAGTGCATTGCTCTTGTATTGTAGCAAATTGCTACAATACAAGGCCAATATCCATCAATTCACATAGAAAATAGAAACTGTAGTGTTGTCTAAGCCTATTGATATAGCTTAAACTTCAATAAGATTGATATAGCTTAAACTTAAACTTCAATAAGCAAAAATGAAATGGGGCCCCCAGCCCAGAGGGATGGATATTATGAGTTCAGTACCCTTCAGTGTTTGAATCTGGATAATCAAGTGTATGTCCTAATTGGTCAAGATCCATCGAATTCATGTAGGTTGTTTTTTTTACGGTAATTTTATAGGCAAAACATTTTGGGTTGGGCTCCCCAACGGAATAAGAAGTTATGTATGTCAGTGTCAGATAATTTTTTTAATTGGTGAACTCATTTGTAAATGTAGTCCCAGCTACCCGGTACTACATACATTGTAATAGTAATTTCAAAAGTACCAGTACCCAGAAAGTAAGTTGATGTGAGAACAACCAAGCTATTTTAATTAGACTTTGGAATTGATTTAATTCTAATGTTTGACAGGTGAAATTGCTCATGTCAAAATTTGAAATTAAGTCACTTATGGCCACATTTTATCAGTGGGTAACTAAGGTTTTAGTTTTGGCAATATTACCATTACCATAAGCCACAGCTTGAGATTTCTTCAAAATTTAATGGGTCTGTTTATATTATCAAAATGAAACACTTCTTTTAGCAGTGGTAGATGAGTGGAAATTTAGTTCTAGTTCCAAGTGTCCAGAACCTAGAAAAATCAGACCGCCCCCAATTTTATTTAATCTGTAATTTTACAGCCAACATCCATTGTCCTAACTCTACTAGATATCCTCCCTTCTTTTTTGCTGGCATCCGTCCGTTGTGACGATGGAGTGGGCTTCGTAGGACGAAATCCACATAGCCTGGGATTATTATACTTGAAGGATTATAAGCTGGTTCACAACAGCAAATCGCCTCTCTCCACGCCGCTGGAGAACCCAAGGGAACATCATTGGATGATACAGCTTGGCACCAGTGACTTCGCAGGAGTTGTCGGAATGTTTCATTGTATCAATGTTATCCACCTTTTGGGACTCCATCTCCGGGTTTGATTTCAGAGTTTCCTTCTCTTAGATGAGTTGCCGTCCGAGGTTAACGAGTCCCTCCCATCTACCCGGGGTGCTGGTGGTGTTTTTGCTCTAGCTGGAAATGAACTCCAGACCACCAACTTGAGATTTGCTCAGTTTAGGCCACCCAGCACTCCAGATATCCCTTCACCCTGCTGCTAATTGAACAAGTGATCACTAATATAAACATACAGACAAAAACGAAGGACCAAGTCAAACTAATATTCCAGGATAACTTAAAACGTTTTAATAGCTGTCACAAACAATGCAACAAATGAAAAATGGCTATGAAAGTAATATATTAAGGCTTCATAACTATATTCTATTGGAATATGAAATTAAGCATTAAAAGCTTCTTCATAAAAAAAAGAAAGTGACTGAAAACGTCCTTGAAAAATAATTTCCATGTTGACTGGTACCTATAACTAAGCTTGAAACTTGTTTAATCAACCTCCTCAATGGTTGGGCCACTGCCTCCACCAGTACCAGCTGAAGCACCACTTCCAGCACCTGGAGCTCCTCCAGTGAAGTCTGGCATACCACCAGCACCACCCATACCTTGGTACAGTTTGGTAATAATTGGATTGCACACACCCTCAATTTCCTTTTGCTTGTGTTGAAATTCTTCCTCATCTGCCAATTGATTGGCATCTAACCAATGAATTATCTGAAGATGAAAAGTTACACTTTGAATACTGGTACCAGTACAAAAACTTGTATTCATTTATTGAATATAATTTTAAAAAACACAGAGTTAGGACAGTAGGTTCTCAACCTACTTAATCCCATGCCATGTTACATGAGACCACAACCATTTTATGGAGTCAAATTTAATCAATGAACTGGTTGTGTTAAATGATACTCTTACAGCAATAAAATCAAGGCCTACAGCCATTCAAATCTTAAAATTATCACACAAAAATACAAGAAGTTAACTTATGCAACTAATCAAATCACATCCTATAGTAATTTTAATGGGGAAAAAAAAGCTTACCTCATTGCATTTATCAATGATAACTTTTTTATCATCTGCACTAATTTTATCCTTAAGCTTTTCATCTTCAACTGTAGACTTCATGTGGAATGAATAGCTTTCAAGAGCATTCTTGGCAGATATGCGTGTCTTCTGTTTCTCATCCTCATTCTTGTATTTCTCAGCATCATTAACCATCCTCTCAATTTCCTCTTTGGAAAGACGACCTTTATCATTGGTAATGGTGATTTTGTTCTCCTTGCCAGTGCTCTTATCAACAGCTGAGACATTGAGGATGCCGTTGGCATCAATATCAAATGTCACCTCAATCTGAGGTACACCTCGTGGGGCAGGTGGGATACCAGTTAGTTCAAATTTACCAAGAAGATTATTGTCCTTTGTCATAGCACGCTCACCTTCATAAACCTGTAGAAGAAACATTCAAAAACATTTTAAAGTCATGCTCCCTATGTTAGGGAAGTATTGCTGGATGCAATAGGAAGCTTAACATCAAGGGCTACAACATAACCAAAGCAATGGAAATTTTTATTTACTCAAACAATTGGCATAAAATTATTAATTACTATACTGTAACGTTATTTAAGACCATGGTTCAGACATCCAAGGAAGGGCAATAGGCCATCTTTAGAACAAGAGCAGTTCTTCTGGTGGAAACCGCGAATGTTTTGGAAAGAACTTCATCATCACCATGGTATTAACAGAATATAGATAACAATTACCTGAATGAGCACACCGGGCTGATTATCAGAATAAGTAGTGAAAGTCTGAGTTTGCTTAGTTGGAATAGTAGTGTTTCTCTTAATCAAAGCAGTCATGACACCACCAGCTGTTTCAATA